ACCCCGTTAGTGTTCTACAAAAGCAACCACAATTTTTAAAAAAAAATATTAAAAAATTTATTTTGTTGTAAAATATTAAAATATTTTAGTAAAACAAAATTATTAAAAAAAACCATTTGAAAAATTCATCTACCCCGTTAGTGTTCTATAAAATCAACCATAATTTTTTTTAAAATATTAAAAAAATAATTTTGTTGTAAAATATTAAAATATTTTAGTAAAACAAAATTATTAAAAAAAACCATTTGAAAAATTCATCTACCCCGTTAGTGTTCTATAAAATCAACCATAATTTTTTTTAAAATATTAAAAAAATAATTTTGTTGTAAAATATTAAAATATTTTAGTAAAACAAAATTATTAAAAAAAACCATTTGAAAAATTCATCTACCCCGTTAGTGTTCTATAAAATCAACCAAAATTTTTAAAAAAATATTAAAAAAATAATTTTGTTGTAAAATATTAAAATATTTCAGTAAAAGAAAATTATTTTTAAAAAAAACTAGTTTGGTTAACAGTGTTTTTTCAATTAACTATTATTAAAAAAAAAACAGTTTGGTTATAACAGTTTTTTTTTTTTTGTTAATAATTGATTTTTTTCAATTAAATTTTAAGAACAATTTGATTAACAATGTTTTTTTGGTTAATAAATATTTTTTGAATTGAAATTTGAAAAGAGTTTGAAAAAAAATGAAAATAAAATAAACTAATAGGTGCATCATTTAAAAATAAAAATAGACAGCAGTAAATTATATGAAAAAAAAAAATACACAAACAAAATACAATGACAAATGGTGCGTACATCCATGAACCAAAAAATTAAGAAATAAAGAAAATGAAACAAACAAATAAGAACAGAAAGTACCAGTACATCTGCAACACAACTAAAAACCATAACATGCGTCAACCATTTGATCACTCATCAAAACAAATTAAGCGTCATTGTCAGGTGGTGGTGGAGGTGGAAGGAAGTAGTGATAGTAGACCTGAGTCACTCGATGGTCAATATGATAAATGCAGTTGCTTGTAACTTCATCACGTCTTTCAGTGTCTACACAAAACTCACCAAATTGTTGAATTAATAAGTTCTGAGCGACGACAAATGCATCGAACCAATTACCTAATGCATTGAACTGATTCTCCATTTGTTGTTCCTATTGTACGCATTGATTGTATTCTTCTTGTTCCAGCGCCAAATAATTAGTCCAGTATTAGGGTTGTTGACTTGGTGGCATGGCATTGTCATTTGGGTCTTCGGAATCATCAACTATTGGTGCATTTGCAACATTAATAGATCCCAATAAGTTGTCAACGCCACCAGCTCGGGTCAGTGTATACTCTAAAATTGGTGAAGAGATTTTCACAACTGCTTCACCTTCAAAGCTGATATTATGAGCTTTGAAAATTTTGGTTAGCAGAGCTCCAAAAGGTAGTGACCGGCCACTGAGAGTACCAAGATTTGTAACCACGATTTCTTTCAGTAGTATGTAGCATAAATCTAATGTTTGTTCAATTTCAAAACAATACAACAAATAAACATTATAAAATTGAGCAACATCAAAATGTTATTTTTTGGGAGTGACATTTTCGACTATCTATCGATGAAGACTATGAAGGAGGGGTTTCAAATGTTGTTCTTGTAAATTAGTGCCGGTAAATTGGTTCTCACAAATTGTAGTATAAACTTCACTTACATCACCAACCATGTTAACTAGGTCAGCTTCACTTTGAAAATGACTTTGCAAATCCCCTAACTGAACTCCAATAATTTGTGCCAAAGTGTGGGGGTTCAGTGTGATTAATTTACCTTTGACGTAAGATGTCAAACTATTCTCTCAAACTACTCCCTCAGTAGATCTTAAGTGAAGGTAAAATAAATACACAACATGTGGATATACCTTTTATGGTAAATTGGTTAAAGGTAGCCATCCCATTGTCTCCAGTGTGCCAACCAACAAAGGATCATAATGAGAATGTAGATTTACCCTTCTCCTAGTAACAATTGGTCGGTTGGCAAAATTTGGATAAGTTTGTTCATGATTGAACGTGAGAAAATCAATAGTTGGATAAGTCTGCTCTTGTTGGCGTGGTGGAGGGTTAGAGGTTTGGCCACGTTCTGGTCTGGCTCTTTTTGTTCTCGGCATGACTTATGAACGTAAGCAAAAGGATAGCAAAAGGTAACAAAAATGTATGAAAAATTTATAGCAAAATGTATGAAAATGGTGTGCAAAAAGTAAGCAACAGATAACCAAAGCTCAGCCTCGGTTGAGACTTGCTAGAAGCTGGAACAGCCTCGGGTTGAGACTTGTAGGAAGTTGGAACAAGTGAGGTCGGTTGACCTACCAGATGACCCACCAGTTGTCCGGTCGGATGACCCATAGGTTGACCGCCGGGTCGACTTATTTGCTGAACTATTCGGCTTACTTCTACAGCTCTGAAATTGTGAACAAATCTGAAAAAACCTTTGATCAAAGCTCTTGGTCTCTTGTTTACACGGATATGAATTGTAAAAATATAGACTGAATTTTTTAAATTAATTGATTGTGAAATTAATTGAGGTAAGTGGTGGAAGAGGTGGTTGTATCATTCGAGTATTGATATACTATTTTGAAACTATTTGAATAATGAATGTCAATGAAATGGTGAAGAAGTTAATGAAAATTGTGAAGTAATGAAACTGTTGGAATGAAGATGGTGTTGCTAAAAGTTGTGAAGTGAAATTGTTGGTTAGTAGAGTGATATAAAGAGCCTCGGTCAAACAAATGATCAAAAACATACTGCTGAGTTTTGACTTTTTTTCTTTTCATTTCTTTTTTTTTTTACTTTGATCGAATGCTGACCAACTATTTTGGTTTTTTTTTTTTTTCTTTTATCAAAGTTGACCAACTGAGGTTTTGCAGAGGGTTGATGGCTCTGTAGAATATGAGTTAAATTACCATATTGTCCTTTTTATTTTTTTCCTAACATATGAATTTAGTATTCACTAAAAGATGGGTAATGTGGTCATTTCAATCTCAAACACATCACACACTAATATTATTGATGGTACTTCCACTTCACGGGTGAGACCTTCACGAGTGCAATTGACAGTGAAATGGACATGTAAGGTACAATAATGAAGGTGAAGACAACAATATAGATTCACGAATTTTTCATAAAAGTGATAAAATTTAACAAATAAAAAATGTTTAGATAGCATTTGGTAACGTTTATATTTTTGGTTTTTATTTACAAAAATTTTATTAATTAGTTTTTATTTATTTTTTAAAAAATATAAATTATAAACGCGTTTGGTTTGAACAAAATATTTATTGTCTAAATTTAACAAACATAAACAAAAAAAATATGTTTATTCAGGTCTAAAATATTTATATTTATTTTTTATTATTTTTTGACAATGGGATCATACACATTATAATTGAAAAAAAAATTAATTATAAAAATAAATTGGGAAAAAATTAATTTTAAAAAAATTAATTGAAAAAAAATTATTGCAATAAAAATTATTTCAAAAAAATTTATTTGGAAAAAAAGTAATTGAAAAAAAAATTAATAGAAAAAAAAATTAATTGAAAAAAAATTATATCAAAAAAAATTAATTGAAAAAAAATTTATTAATTCATTTTTTGAATTGAATTTTAAAAAGAGTTTAGTTATGAATACTCATCAAAAATTTCAATCAAGTTTTGGGTTTTGTGTTTGATTATGAATTATAACTTTTTGAATTAAGTTTTGAAAACTCTTTTCAAAACTTATAACCAAACAAATTTTCTTATTTCACATATCACATCAAACTTTCAAAACTCATTTCCACACTCAATTCAACAGTTTCATAAAAAACTATAACCAAACAAATTTTCTACACTTAAATCATAATTTCAAGACTCACAAACTCAAAATACAACTCTATTCTCAAATCATATTTAAAAAATTCTACCAAATGCTACATAGAATTTTAACTTCATAAATGAGGCCCTCACGTATTAAAGTGTAGTATTTGTGTTTGAGTTCTATATAATTTATTAATATATGCTCAAATTTTATCATATTTTTTTATTATTATTATTTTTGTTAACATTCGTATATCAAACGTAATTTTTTTTTTCTTTCTATATCTATCTTAATCCATAAACATTTTCACTCTTTACATATCATCATACCAGGATCACAAGTGCTGCCATTCATTATTCCTTTTGTCATTCTATCTTTTATACATATATGAAGCCTTACATCACTTTCATATTTTATTTCACACCCCAACTCTGCATTCTCGCTCTCTCTTTCATATACATTTGAAGTGATACCCTTCACCTTTTATTCCAGGCTTGCTTTAAGCGCTCTCTCTCTCTCTCTGTCTGTGCTATATACCATGAAAGAAGGTACGATAGATGAAAGAAGAGGGGCTTTGAAAAGCGACGAAACAGATAAGAGAGAAGCAGAAGAGTTGGTGATAGAATGAGAGGTACGAGTACATATGGGCAAGAATGAACCTAGATTTTTATTTATTATTTTAATGTAATGCTTAATAATAATATTTGGGTAGTATTACGTATACTAATTAGTATACTAACTAGTGTAATGATATTATTATTAATCCCATTTATTATGCAAATTACAAATATAACATTATTCTAATATTTGTGATTGAAAGTAAAACTAATAAAACAAACATAATGCACCAATTAAGTAAAATTGGGTACATATAATTTACTTATCAATGTTATATCCATATGCTCATTTGTTTATTAAGGGGTGATTTTATGATTGATTTTTTTAATAATTTTTTAATTTTTTACGAAAAAATATATAAAAAATAAAGAACAAATTGACTTTTTTTTCTCTCTCTTCCCCGCTTTCTCTTTCTCTCTTTTAGAAGAGGTTATTTAGAATGACCTAAATAAATATATTTTTTATATTTTTATAAAAAGATGTGTAAAAAAATAAAAAAATGATGTGATAAAAAAAAAAAGGCAAGGGGAATTTCAGGAAAAAAATCATTTCTCTATTTTTAACAGAATTAGTCCACAAGCGTAAATTAAAAAATAATAATAATAAAAAAAAAAAAAAAACTCCAAAGTCCCAACTCTCGACCGACCTTCAAAGCTTGAAGAGGCTCCCATGGCTAACAATCCTTCGCAGCTCCTTCCTTCAGGTTCACACACACTCTCTCTCTCTCTTTCTCTCTCATGTATGTGTTTGTGTATATATCTATCTCTACATATATAGATGTAACTTAAAAAGGGCAAAATAAACAGAAGATTGTTGATATGCGTTGCAGAGCTGATCGATCGATGTATAGGGTCGAAAATATGGGTGATAATGAAAGGTGACAAAGAACTTGTTGGTACTCTCAAGGGTTTCGACGTCTACGTCAACATGGTTCTCGAAGACGTTACTGAATAGTTTGTACCTCTTTCTCTACTTGTTCAATTTTTCCATTCACAATTGAGACCAATATATATGATTTATTCTTTATTTTGTTGAACATAGAGTAAAACACTGGATTGATAGCAAGACTTTTAGGTTCCCTCAACATTGGCTTTAATTTATTGAATTTGATGTTTTAATTGATCAATGTGTTTGATTTGGACAAAGCTTGAAAAGTTTAGCCCTAGCTCGGGATTAGTCTATTAGCAGCAAAGTTATGTTTAGGAGAAGGAAAAAAAATAGAGAATTTATCATGCTTCTCATTAATTTGGTCTTTTTCATTACATATACATGTATATATTGAATACAATAGGTTGAAATTAGGGAAAGTTGGCTTCATAATTGGAAAATTTAAAGAAGTTAGCTCAGCTAGTAATTATGATTTTATTTTTGATCTTTTTGTAAGTACTCCAAAAGCGCAATAGATTTAGAATATTCAAAATGAACTTGAATTGAATGTATTTTCCCAACTTGCTAAACATGGGGGATAGTAAAGTTTAAACCCTTGTTCCAAATATTTAGGGTCGGGCTACATGGATCTATTTGCTTCAATCAATTTCATTCAAAATCAAAGAGAAATACATTTAAGGTAATCATGACATTTCTTATTGCCTCAACCATGTTGGTCTTCCTCTATTTCTTTTATCACCTCCATTTGGATCAAAGAATTCCACTTGGCTGCTGCATTCACAATCATTCCATCTCAAACAATAATCCCTCGTTTAATATCAAATTGGTATACTTTTAACTTTTTAATTGATTTGTTTATTTATTTATTTTTTCTTGTAAACTTTTCAATCATTTGGCTGCACTAATTTTTTGAAGATGCTTTTTGCTTAACCACCGACATTCAGTATTATAATAACAGGTGTTATAGCAGTCTTATAAAAAAATTTCCTACTTCTAATGCACTCGTCCATTTCATCCATCACACTTTAATTTTATGGGCCACATCATCCTCACCCATCTTTTTGAATAATTGACCTAAAATATACAAAAAATGGTCTCTCTTGCCCATCAAATTTTACTTTACTCTCATCTCTATTTCTAGTTTTATTGAAGTCACACTTTCTATATTATGTTTTAGTCGTACTTAATCCGAATGCTTTATATTTTTAACTATCTATACACAGTTATTACTTAAAGTTTACTTCTCTTACTTCGTCAACTAAAACTATATTGTCAGCAAATAACGTACACTTGTCCAGGGATATCCTATTGATTGTTTAGTAAATTCATCCATAATTATTGCAAAAATGTAAGGACTTAGTGCCGATCCTTGTCGTAAAATTATTGTTTTTGGACTTGGTGTCGATCTTTCATGAACTTTTTTTTTTCCCCATCCAATATCTCTTTTCCTGTTGGGGGGAGGCAGACGGGCTTTTGTATTTGGCTGAAATGGAGTATCATTAATGTTTCACAATTGGCTCTTTTTTGGATTTACTTTTCATATTTTGTTAGGCATAATTTATGTTTGGAATTGACATAGGTCTTTTTCCATTTTTAAAACATGACAACAAACACATTTTTGGTGTTACTTATATGTTGTACTTGTTGTCATTAAGAAATCTACTCCCTTGTTGATTCTAAATTAATTTAAATCTAGATTTAAAAAAAAAATCTGCCTCTGTATAAGTTTTCTCAATAACAAATCTATTGGAATCATTTTCATTGGTTAAGAAATTACAGTTATATCCTTCACGGAGCCAAATTTTATTTTTTCTTGGCGACCAAAACAACTGAAGCTTGAATGTAATAAGTTGAGGTCTAGAAAGCTACTGTAGAGTTTCACTGGTGGGTGTAAACATGTTGAAAAGCTAAATGGGAGTGAGCATGGAGGCAGGGGATTGCCTAGGGCTTACTTACCTTTGATTGGGAAATTGTTTCAGCGCTTGGGTATTGGTGTTGCTTTTTGAGTTTTTTTAATCATATCTATCCTTTCCAAACCCTCACAGTGATGGGACCTTGTGCAGTGGGCTGTCTTATTTATATTTGTAATCTCTTCGGTTTGTAGTGGATTGATTTTACTGATCAGATATATACATAGTAGATTGATCTATCTCACCCATGTATGTAGACAAGTTTGTGTCGAACCAAGTAATTCTTTGTGTTTTTTTTTTCTCTGTGGTCTGCGTGTGTGACTGTGGTTTGCTTTCGTGTATGTTTGTGTTGGAAATCCCAACAAGTGGTACTAAAGCTTCCGCTGGCATAACAAAAACACACTCCAAATTGCTGTAATATAGGAAAAAATTCTACCATCTATGTCTTGGGATAAAACTTCGTCAAATATTGGCTATTTTAATTTTCACAAGAAAGCATCAGAATTATGTTTTAATATGAATGAGATAATCTAAATCGAATAAGGCTTTAGGACCCGATGATATATCTATTGAAGCGTGGAAATGTTTGGGTAAGAAGAGGTTGTTTGGTTGATTAGGTTATTTAGTAAGATTTTGTTGATTAGAAAAATGCCCAAGGAGTGGAGGAAGAGTATTTTAGTGCCAATATATAAGAATAAAGAAGATGTTCAGAATTGCAACAACTATAGAAGAATCAAATTAATGTGTTATACAATGAAAGTGTGGGAGAGAGTGATGGAACGTCGACTGCGAAATATAACAAAGGTGTGAGAGAATCAGTTTGGGTTTATGCTTGGTAGGTCAACAATGGAAGTGAATCTATCTTTTGAGTTGAGTAGTAGAAAAATATAGAGGAAAAAAAAAAGACATTCTTATAGTTTTTATCGATCTTAAAAAAGCATACGATCGAGTGTCTCGGGATATAATCTGGTAGGTGTTAGAGAAGAAAGAAGTGACAAAATGTTACATTGATGTAATTAGGGATATGTATAAAGGTGTGGTGACCACTATTAGATCGCCTGCTGAAGAGACGAGTGAATTTCCAATTACTGTAGAGTTATACCAAGGATCAACCTTAAGTTCTTATTTTTTTGTTTTAGTTATGGATTAATTGACGTGCAATATTCAGGATGATATACTATGGTGTATACTTTTTGCAGATGATATCGTGTTAGTGGATGAGACTAGAGAAGGAGTTAACACTAAGTTGAAGATTTGGAAAAACACTTGAATCTAAAGGATTTACAATAAGCAGAACTACGACAGAGTATATGAAGTGTAATTTTAGTAACAGTCACAATGGAAGCAGAGGAAAAGTGAAGATTGAGAACTAAGAACTACCTAAAAGTAAACATTTACGTTATTTAGGATCGATTATCACAACGACTAGGGAGATTAGAGTAGATGTGGTCCATAGAATTAAGGCGGGGTGGCTTAAGTAGAGGAGTACGTCTGGAATACTGTGCCATAAACAAGTACACATTAGACTAAAAGGGAAGTTCTGTAGAACGGCTATTAGACCAGCGATGTTGTATGGGACGGAGTGTTAGGCAACTAAGAAATAACATGTAGATAAGATAAGTATTGATGAGATGAGAATACTAAAGTAGATGTGTGGCAAGACTAAAAAAGATAGAGTTAAGAATGAAAATATTCGAGAATGGGTAGAAGTAGTACTGATAGAAGAGAAGTTGAGAGAGAACAGATTAAGATGGTTTGGTTATATACAACGGAGATTAACAGAGGTATTAGTAAAGAGATGCGATATAGTGATGGTAGATGGTAGTGTTTGGTGAAGGGATAGACTTCGGCCTTGTTTGGGATAAATTAAAAAAGTCAAAAAATTAAAAAGTTACTAAAAAAGTTACAAAATCTATAGTATTCAAGAGTAGCCTATGGGGGTTTTGCCCTTTGAATTCAACTACCCAAAAAGTCAAAAAGTTAAAAGTCAAAAAGTCAAAAGGATAAAATGATTATTTTAATTTTACTACAATATTTTATTACACATCTTTTCGTAAAAAGTTAAAAAATTATTCCAAACATACATCTTTTTCTTCTCTACTTTTTAAACAAAAAAGTCAAAAAGTACACATATATAGCACATCCCAAACAACTACTTAGATTGACGTGGACTAGTGTTGTAAATAGAGATATGAAATCTTCTTAATTTGACTAACGAAATAGCTTTAGATAGAGTCGAGTGAAAAAGAATTCATGTAGCCGACCCTATTTGATGGGACTTAAGACTTGAACTGGTTTGGTTTGGTATCAATATGACAAATGCTACTGCCTTGATTTGTATGCTTGTACAGGCCTGAATACCATCGCACATTTTACACTAGCTCTCTTAGAGTGTGTGTGTGTGTGTGTGTGTGTGTGTGTGTGTGTGTGTGAGAGAGAGAGAGAGAGAGAGAGAGAGACAAATTCTCTGTCGCATGTGCAGTGAAGTTGCTACTACATATTGTGTTCATTTTGTTCCAGTGGGATCTGTTAATGTTGAAAGGCTTTCTGTAATTATCCTTTTCCTGTTTTCTTTGCACATCTATTCCTACATGACAGTGAAATTACCAATGAAGGGCGACGAATAACAAAACTTGACCAGATATTGCTTAATGGAAACAACATTGCTATTGTAAGTCATCATTGCTTCCTTTTTTTTTTAATATATATATATAGCTATCCATCATTTTTGTGGCTTGACAATTTGTTTGAGAAGCTGAGTCCTATTGATTTTGTACTCTACAATTCTAACATTTTGTGCATCATGCAGCTTGTCCCTGGTGGTTCTCCTGATCCAGAATGAGTGTGGTGGTGTGCAAAATTGCTTTTGTTAGTACCGTCAAAGTGGCAGATCTAAAGAAGCATGCTGATGAACAAAAAAGTCTGGTGTTTGTGACTTTAGCTGGTGACCTGGTAGTCCGAGGACTAATATTACTATCAGTTGTTATGACTATTTTTTTAATTTTTTATTTTTTTTGTTGGTTCTTGTATTTGAAAGAGAGTTTATTTACATTGATGACTTAATAACTCTCCAATGACCATATGAAGATTTCTAGGGTGTGAGAAATATGAAACAATTTGAAGAGCATGTAGGTATAGGGCCATCAAGATGATAACTGTAAATCTGACCCTTGTGCACTAAAGTTTTTCCTTTCTTAAAAAAGAAAATCAAGTAATTACAACAAATTTATTAGGTTGAGTTGAGTTTAGCTGGTGAACTTTTTTACTTATATATATATATATGTAGATGATAATTCATTCTGAACGTTAAGAACGTAAGAATATGTTTGTTTGACTAAGTAAATTAAATTAGATAAGATTAACATTTTACAGCTATTAATTTTGAAATTATTAATCTCTTTAAATTGTGTAACATACACTGTTTGATTAACTCAGAATTTAAGAGGATGAATTGATAAAATTTTATAATTTAATCAATTTGCCAAAGTCTCTCATTTAACTTTATTAAGAACGTGTTTTTCTTTTTTTTTTTCAAACTAACAAAAAAAAGAAAAAGACGTTTCGTAAGAATATTATAGTATCTGAGTCCTATCCTTAGGATAATCAGTTGCTAATCAGGTTTAACCTAACTCAAATGAGGAATGCATCTATTCCCAACATAGGAGACAGAGTCACAGTTAGAGTACATTTCGATCAGTTTCAACCAATTAACGGAAACGCTAGTTGTGTCCCATAAGTCAGATTGTGCTCACTTGCAACCAATTAAGGGAAACGCTAATTGTGCCCCATGAGTCGAGCTGTGCTCACCTGTGAAAAAAGAAGACACCTTTCTACATTGCCACCATCCCCGGTACTATGAACGTGTTTGTTTGACAGACTTAATTAGTTAAGATGGGTATTTTAAAATTATAAATTTTAATTTATGTATCACATTCCATTTTATTGAGATAGAATTATTAGGCGAAATCTATAAATCCTTTGCTGCCTTTTTCTTTCATTAAGCCAAACATCCCAACGCTCAACTGCCGTTTGGCATGTGGGTTTTTTTTTTCTTTTTAGTTTTTTTTTTTTTTTTTTTTTTTTGACTATTTTAGTTCCGATTAAAAAGTTTATTGGGATTAATTTTTTTGATTTTTATAAAAGAACAAATGAAATGATTATAATTTAAATGTGATATTTGATTTTTTTAATTTATTAATTTATTTTATCTTTTTTATAACTAATTTAACCCAAAAAATTAATGCCAAACGAAACCTGAAGTGGTCCTTGATTAACTTCGGGGTCAAGATTTAATTAAGGTGCTAAGATTAATTAAGCGGTGGTGTTATATGCACTAATTAGTATTAGAATAATACTATATGCATTAATTAGTGTATACACTAGTGTATTAATAGATAATGTGACATAATTTTAGAGGCTTTGGATATTTGTAATTTGTACAATAAATAAGGTCATTAATGATATTATGACACTAGTTAGTACTAGGGGTTTGCGCGGTGCGGTTCAGACGGTTCGAGAGTAAAATTACAAACCGAATGGCGGATTAGCGGATTGACAATTTGCTATTTGGGCGATTTTTGACAGATTGACGGATTGAAGAATATTCTAGCTAATTATCATATATTTGCATAATATATAATACTAATTTGTATAATATTTTTTAGATATATAACACAATATAATTTTAAATAATATGTTTCATATATATAACCACTAATTTATAATAAATTTTATATCTTAAATCTCTCTTACACTTATTTTTACATTGATATTTCATTGGAGGTTGAAAAATATATATGTATTAATTATAGCGGAACGGAGCGGTGCGGTTGGCGGATTATAAATTTTTAAGTTTAAACCGCGGTTAGCTGTTAGAGCGGTGTGGATAGATGCAAATCGGTGCGGTTTTAGCGGATTAGGCGGTATTTTGCACAGTCTCAGTTAGTATACTAATGTGTACACTAATTGGTGCATATAGTATCACCGCTAATATTAACTAGTGTAGCAACATAAGTTATGACATTATTATTGACCCTACTCATTAATCACATTATAAATATTAAGAACCTCTTAAATTATAACACATTATCAATTAATATAAATAACATTATTCTTCATCAAGTTGCACTTAAGTTAGTCGGACACTCCATTCTAAAAAAATTAAAAAATTAATTTAATGTTATAATTTAATCAATTTGCCTGTATAGAGAGCCCCCACCCCACTGTTCCTTCACCGTGTTGGAAGAGATGGAGATGAGTTACCAATTAAGAACGCTGAGGAAGAAGAGAGAGGTGGACTCCATCATCAGAGACACCATCGACAAGCTTCTCGTCCTTCGCTTCGGTCGATCTTCCGACCCCCTCTGTCTCCAGCTCGACGACATCGTACGTCTAGGGTTTTCCTCTCTCTCTCTCTCTCTTCATTGTTCATCTCCTGAATTTCCTTCACCTACAAAATTAAATATATAATCGCAATTCGATTTCTTTATGGAGTCGTTTAATTTTCTTTCTGAGATAAATAATGGCTTATATGTTTGTTGACGGAAGACCTAATTTGAATCTCAAACGCACCCGATAAAAAAGAAACTCAATTTTGTTTATATCCCGAAATTATCATATAATCATGAAGCGATACAGTTTGATTCAATTTTTTTTTTGTTTTTTTTAAATAAAAAATGTGTAAAATGCATTAAACCTTGCTAAAATGACTTATCATTTGAAATTTAGAAGTAGAAAATTGCTGGCCTAAATCACATTACTTTCTCATATTTTTTTTATCTACTAGGGAATAAACAAGTAATATGGTTCCCAATTCCTTGCGTTTAATGGGTAAGAAAACAGTAGGTAAAAAGTGAGTTTGTAGCATTTCTCATAAGCCTGTGTTTGGATCATCAATTTTGATAGAGATTTGGAAAGGGAAACACCCACCTTTTTCGCTTCCCTTTCGCAATCCCTACTCAAATCTGTGATCCAAACACATCGTAAATAAAAGTAGTTTCTCATAGTAATTTCAAACTTAAATTTTGGAAAGTTGAAGATGCTCATAATTTTGTACAGTTGCTTATCTTGATTCCTTTGTTATATTTTCCTCCTTGTTTGAGAACAGCTTTCTAAATCAGCAAGGGAGGTGTCCAAGTTTGCAACCATAGCATTGGTAGATATAGATTCAGAGGACATTCAAGTCTATGTCAAGTATTTTGACATCACCTTGATACCATCCACAGTTTTTTTCTTCAATGCTCATCACATGAAGATGGATTCAGGGTACAGTTTCTTCTTATCATCCACTGCTTCTTTTGGGTTACTCTGTTACATCATTTTATTACATTTTTATCTGATAGTGTTCTTTCTGAGCAAGAAAATAGTGTGGCAATACTATCTGTAATTTCCCTTTTTATTTGGAGGGCCTGAAGTTCACATCATTATTCCATTCACTTGTTATTCAGGAGTGCAGATCACACCAAGTGGGTTGGTGCATTTCATGAAAAACAGGACTTCATTGATGTTGTAGAGGTATGCTGCTAGTACTGATTTCTCATACACCATTGTCATGTAGTCATCCTTACTTGTTACGGGTATGCTGTCATCACATGCAAAGATTTGACGTGGTATTGATATGTTTTTAAAAGATATCTCTAAATTTATCTGAAATGGCTGTGAAGATGCATCAGATCATTTGAGTGTTGTTCATGAGTGGTTTTTTTATTTTTATTTTTTAGGTACATTCAAGGATAAATTAAAACTACTTCTGAGTGTTGGAATTAGTCTGTTATTGTTGATTGCTCTTTGCCAATGATTGGTTTGTTGGTAGGAATGGCCCTTTAAGTGACTCTTTCGCTTTGTTTTGTTTTTGTTTTTGTTTTTGTATAGAAGGTTCTTAGGTGTGTTGGAAGTAGTTCCAATCAGTAGTGTTCTCCTTGTATTTGACAAATATGCTTCCGGATTTATGTTATGGTTGCATGAATGTCTAAACCTTGCTTCTTTTTTTTTGTTTTCCCTTCTTCCTTGCAGGCAATATATAGAGGTGCCATGAAAGGCAAGCTGATAGTAAGTTGTCCATTGCCCCCGGAGCAAATACCAAAGTTCCAGTTGCTGTATAAAGATGTGTGAGAGCTGAATCTTTGGTCTATAGGGTGAACTGATGAGGTTCTAAAGATAGACATGTATTATATCGAGAGGATATGGTAGTATAAACCCATACCGTTAATTGTACCTTAATGTAATTCTGTATTCTTGGTATCATAATGTAAGAGAAGGGAAGAGGGAATGAATTCCATAGTTTTGAATAAAATTTATGCACCTAATGCATTTCTTTATTAGTGACTTGGCTGGTAAAGTTATTTTCCAGGAAAACATATAAGAATGTCCTGAACTGAAATGCAAGTCAAGTGGTTAGAGGCCATCGAACACGGTGTTCTTTTTTTAGCAGCCTCAAAATTGGAAAATTGCATTGTGCTAAAGGAAGTATGATAAAAATGATTAAGGTAAAATCCAAAACTTTATCACAAAAAGAAAATTAATATTTATTTATGACTTCTCGAGCTCAAACTTATGAAATTGAGATTACATTGAATCCATTGTAATTATTGATGCATGGATTATCAAAAAGTGCACCGGCATTGAATTGTCTAACTATTTCCATTAAACTATCAGATTGCTAATGAAGTGTTCAAGTGCCATCTTTTAGATGAATAATGAATCTAACGGGCATCCTTTGATAAGAAATTGTGTTCTCTGACAATTCGAGCATTGCAAAGATCATCAACTGAGTCACCCCTTTCAAAAACAGCAGCAGCCCCCATACCTGAACCTGCAACCACCAATACAAATAAATGTTTAGCCAACCAAAGGAAATAAGTGAACTACTCAAGTGTCAGAGACGAAGAACCATGACATAGAAGAAGGCAAGTAGAGAGACCTATGCACATGGAAATCACACCAAATCGACAGTCCTTGCCACGACGCGTCATCTCGTGCAATATAGTTGCAACACAGCGTGCACCTGATACATAAGGTAGGTAAGCAGGTAGGTTAACTTCCAGACTATATCTAGCTAATATTGAAAGGTATCGAGTATAATAGGTCCTAAGAAGTTCGTATAAATTTCTACAAGCCCTCTTGCTTACCTGTAGCACCCAAAGGATGCCCAAGAGCCATTGCGCCGCCATTGACATTGACTTTTTCAGTATCAAGCTCCAGTTTCTTACAGCAATATACAAACTGGGATGAAAATGCCTGCAGAAAGAACATTAGAATTGCAATGTATGAATTCCTGTGTTTATACTGAACTGAACATGGGAATTGTAATGATGAAGAGAATCCACTACCTCATTTATTTCAAACAGGTCAATATCATCGAGCTCAAGACCAGCAGATTTCACTGCTGCTGGAATTGCAGCAGCTGGGCCAATGCCCATAACAGCGGGATCTACCCCAACTGCAGCAAAACTCCTGCATGCATAGCACGAGATTGCATTTTAAATAACAGCATAGCACACTTCAACATTCGACTATCTTAATAATAATTTAGGCCTCTCAATAATGTATAAATATTTAAACAAAGAGATCAAAATGAATTTCCAACACAAATTGTGCACCCTGATTTAGATTTGCCACACTCAGAAACCCAAAATTGCATAAGCTGGTGACAGTACATCCATGAATTTACCTTCTTCTAACTTTTTAGTTTTTACTGAATTTTATTCAAGTGAAGAAAATGATGGCTACTTGTATTATTTCATTGGACATTTGATACACAAGATCACCTCCAACTTCAAGACATCTTGGATCATTACAAAGACACTGACTAGGCTAATAAAATTAAATACCCAGAAACCTTCATAAAAAATTTGAATTCTGATCTGTGAAGTGTGGATAGCAAGTTAACAAAGGTCACTGTCGTGTTCCATTTGAGGTTCTATTTTTTTTTCCCCTCATTTTTGGGATAACATTTTAAGGAAATAATATACCTGAACACACCAAGAATTGGAAGCCCCTTCTGCATAGCAAGACTTCTCTTCATGAGCAGGACTGCTCCAGCACCATCACTCACCTGACTAGCATTCCCTAGAAAATGCAGCAGTGACAATTCAGGTCAAAGTTACAAATTTATGGCATCCAACAAATGCATGAACTCCAAAGTAAATATTTTCAGAAGAATGGCTATTATTTGAATACCAGCAGTCGTGGATCCATCCTTTTTGAATGCAGGCTTCAATTTTGCCAGATCTGTCATATTTGTGTTTGGACGAATTCCATCATCCACAGAAATCGTAACAGGCTTCTCTTCACCAGTTTTGGGGTCCACGATCTTTGAAAAATATTTAACAGTCAGAAATGTCAATAGAAAAGATATTAATTATACAAGTGAATTTCAGCAGTACCTTCGTAGAAACTGGAATAATTTCATCAGTGAATTTTCCAGATGCAGTTGCCGCAGCAGCACGCTTGTGAGATACCACCTGTTGATTTAATCTAAAAGGTTCAAAAAAAAAATGTACAAATTTCTCATTGGGATATAAAATCACATCAATGGATTCTTGGGACTCACAGCAGCCTGATCTTGCTCTTGCCTTGTAACACCATAGCGTTGTGCAACATTTTCGGAAGTAATTCCCATAGGAAGAAGACAATCTCGGGCTTGTGCAAAACTGTCCACCTGTTAATACCATAACATCCAGTTTTAGAAACCACTCAAATCAGACAAATTGGATTAATATGAAACACACACACACACATACTCTTGGGTTAACTTTGGGAACCCTGCCAATCATGTCTGCCGTCATGGACTCCAATCCAGCACCAATGCCTGTCTTGAAAACAACGAAGGTTAAAGCAAAGCATGGAGAAAACACTCAAAGTAGATTAATTTTTGCCAGATTTTTACTCTTACCTATATCATAAAATCCTGCTCTTATAGAGGCAGCAACATCAGCAACTGCTTGGAGGCCTGATGAACATTGCCTATTGACGGTTCTGATGGGCACAGTTTCTGCGTGACATAGATATATCATTTAAGTAGAACTATATCATTTCTATGTTGTGCCTAGAGATCCACAAGATTCAGAAAGGATGTGCGTGCCACTGCATACAGCAATATATATAAATAAAAAAACAAATCACAAGAACAAAATGGTGAAGTACCAGGAAAACCAGCGTAGAACGCAGCCATCCTGCATTCAGTTGCTCTTTGTGAACCTGGTGCCAAAACCGTACCAACAACTATATCTCCCACCTCATTGGGGTTCAGATTTGTTTTCTCTATTAATGCCTACAGTGGACAATTATCACATGAGAAGCTAGAAAGATATATCTCGTAAGTTCATAACACCATGAATATGATTCTAACTTTTGTTAACTCGATCAAACTATAAAATAAAAAAAAATCCAATTCCATATCCACTACTCAACTAAAAGGCCCACGACACCGTACAAACTCATTCCTATGGAAGTATAGTTACCTTCAGAACAGGAGCAAGTAGATCATCCGGAAGGGTATCCTTGAAACCGCCACGTTTTGATTTGCAAATGGCAGTCCGATATGCACTGTCAGAAAGGAGAAAAACATTAAAAGACAAGGCAAATGAATCAAGTAAATAGAAGTGTTTTCAAACAATGAAATAATTAAAGTTTTGATATGTTACAAACTAAGTACAAAGCAGTGTTTTTAAACAACTAAATATTTGGAGCTCCATATGTTACAAATTAACTTACGCCACAATCACAACATCATCTCCAAAAGAAGCTGTCCGATGATAAGCAGCACTATCCCCAGCAAGACAAACTGAAGCCTGGTTAAGAACAAAAGAGCCTCATATTCAAAACAACAAAAATAAGATGGCTATGGAGCAGCAAACAATTAAAATTGATATGGGAAGGTAAAAAAAAATTGCAAATCCAAAACGTTAGGATTTGAGATCATCTATTTGTGGAGAACGTCCATAAAGTTTCTAAATTTAACTCTTTTGCTAGTTCAATTATAACTTTAGTGTGAAGGATTTCTAATAACTACTTTTACATTATTATTTTAAATCTATCGTGACAAAGCTCTCAAATTCAATCTTGAAATTCATATCTAAACGATTAAAATATAAAATATAAAATTTGAGGTATTCTCTTTGAATTAATAGTGCCAAATCCTTTCAATTTCAAATTCATAATTAATCTAAACATAACCTGAATTGTTGTATCCTTGAGAAAGATCACCCAGAGCCATCTGGATAAGTTTTCTTTTCTTTAAACATTAATTCTGCTCCATATCAGTTTTATTTGTAGTTTTGACGAATCGTAAAACTGTTATATTTACTAACAAATTAATGTTACGCAAATTATCTACGCAATTAAAAAAAAATCAATCGTCAATTCTTTCGACTGTGTGTGAGCAAAATCGGAATTCCAGCAATAATTCTAGCATAGTTTGTATCTACAGTTTAATCAAAGCCAAAGAAAAAGAAACAAATTACAAAGAGAGAGTGAAAATCGAACAAACTCATAAAAATCGCCAACTAGAAATCAGTGTACGAACTCAAGCTACGAACACAAAACAGATTAAAAAAGAAATTTGGAATGAAGAAGGTTGGTGGTGGTGGTAGTAAATGAAAGTATAGACTTACAGAGAGAGAAGATTCAAGGCCTTGATGAGAGAAAGAAGAAGAGGGACAAAGATGTTCCAGTAGAACTCTTTGTCTATTAATGGCTTTCTCCATTTCTCTCTCTAAATTCTCTCCCTCTATATGTTATGCAATTCTCTCTCGCATGTCCAATTCGGAAGCAACGACACTATATGTATATATAGGGATGTTTGGTAAAAAAAAAAAATTTCTTTCTTATTCGTTAAAATAATCAATAAAAATAAAATAGAAATAAATAACTAATAAAGTAAAATATTACATTTAAATAGTAATTATTTTAAATTTTTTTTTTCACAATTAACAAATCAATTACTAAAAAAGTCAACTAACTTTTTAAACATAATTTTTTTAACCAAGTTGAAATAGTTAAAGAAAAATGGCTTGTAATTCGAAAAATAAGGGGTTTGAATGGCTCGAATGAGTGTTTACCAGACGACCACCCAGATAACTGCGTGAAACACTTGTCTACCGCGACGCACAACCTTCTCATCGAACGACCAATAAGATGAATTTTGAGCCATAAGCTCAAATTCAAATTATGCAGCAATGTTGATAGCTAAAAATCAAAAAAAATCAATTAAAATAATCAAAATTCCAAACAACCAGAGATGAGTGTCAGGCTTTATTTGAGAATAAATTATTTTAATAATTTTTAAGTTTTTTATAAAAATAGTATATAAAAAATATAAATAAATAAAATAACAATTTATAAAAAAAATTTAACTAAAATATTTACTCCCAACGGAGGCCGAGTGTCTGCCATTTGAGCTTGAATTTCCCTAAAAACCCAAGCAATTAATTGACCTCTTACGAAATTCAGTGGAAGTTGGAAGGCCATGTGTCTGCGATTTAAGCTTGAATTCCCCTAAAAACCCAAGCAATTAATTGACCTCTAACGAAATTCAGTGGAAGCTATTATTGTGTTTCTGTGTGATTGTACCAACTTTTCCAATACCAGCAGTAGTGGTAGTAGGTGTTGCTGCTTCGGAAGTGCCAAGGAAATATCTCCACGTTTTTCGCTGCTACGTGCGCTCCATTTTTTGCTGCTTCCAGTGCCCAGTAAAAAAATATGAGAAAATTACACTGACACCCTCGATGTTTTTATTTAATATAAATTTTTTTATATTTGAAAAGTTACATTTATTCATTTATCATATTAAAATAATATATTTATCTCTTAATCTTTATACATATAAAATAATAAAATAATATAGATATTTTATTTATACCATTTTAAGAGAAATGACAATCATTTTCTTTAGTTTAACTTATACAAAAAAATTGAATTTTTTATTTTATTTTTTGTATTTTTTTTTACTATTTTTTTAATATTTTAAGTAATTTTTTTATTTTTTAAATACATCTACTTAATAAATATAATATTTTGTGTTTTTTTTTTTAAATTCACCAAATATAAAAAAAATACAAAAAATTTAATACATTATTTTATTTTGTTGTATTCCATGGATTTTTTTAAAAAAAATTTGTATAAATTTTATACTTTCTAAATATATTTAGATTAAATTGATCTAATCTAAATATAATAGTGGAAATAAAAATGAAAAATTATATTCATATATAAAAAATTATACAAAAAATATTATAAAAATATTGTAATAGTAATATTGTTGTAAATATAAATCATGTTTATGCGTGTTTTGATTTAAAGTGAAATGTCACCACTAAGCTATAGCCTGTGTTTAAAAATTATATATAAAATTTATGTTTGTATATCATCAGTTAATAAAAATATGTTCATGGAAAGTTGTAAAAAAATGGTCATTTAGAAAAATTTAGGGTGTGACATCAACAATTCAGGGGTAATTTACAATGAGATTATAAACCATAGGGAAATGAATGTAATTTTTCAAATGTGAGAGATGATTTGTATTATATAGAAGCCTCAATGGGTGTTAGTGTAATTTACCCAAAAAATAAATATTGGTATTTGTTTTACTTTACAATAAATTAAAACGGTGGTCCTTATATTTTATTGCATGTGTCATTAATTTTAAATTTTATGTTAACTCAATTTAATAGATAATGCAATTGGTGTTTAAAAATGATCACTGAATTAGTTGAGATTAACTCATTAAATTTACTAGTAAGTTTATAATTTTACATTTAGGTTGTGTTTGGTTAAAGGATTTAAGGAGAGATTAGAAAAGGAAAGAGAAAATGTGTGTGAAATTAGGTGAAATGTAAGTGTATTTTATCTACATTTCACCGTCTTTTTTCCCTTTCCCTTTCTAAATATCTCTCCAAATTTTTGAACCAAATACAGCCTTAAAAATGTGACATTTGTCATTTATATGCATATTTTATTTTATTTTTTTATACAAAATATTAAAGTTAAAACAATTGGAAGCACTAACTCTTTGTTTATTTTGGCGGAAGCTATTTTCAAATAGAAAATATTTTTTTATGTTTGGTAGTGGTGGTGAAACGAAAGTGAAGGTGGAGGTGGTAACATGGTGATAGGGTGGCAATGATAGTAGTAGTGGCTGTGGTGATGATGGTGTCGTGGTGAAGGTGAAAATGACGGTAGTAATGTAATGACATTAATAAGATTTTAGTTCAGAAAATAGTTTTTGCTTTTTAAAATAGAAAACATTTCTTGTCCATATAATTTTGTTTTCTATTAATTATAAAAATATTTTTCATTAACTTTTATCTTTTATTATACTAAATATTAAAAAATAATTTTCATCCAAAGAAATACAGCCTAAAGTATAATAAATAACGTGGTAATTTGTCTTTTATTTTTTAGCCTCTCATATCTCATTTAGAGATAGAGAGAAAGAGAGGGTTGTGAATAGCAATTCTCAATTTTAATGAGATAGAGAGAAAGAGAGGGGTGTGAATAGTAATTCTCAATTTTGGTTGTTGTCAACGACTTTTAAACGTGTATAAGGTGTGAAGCGTGGGTAGAGTCGTCCTCTTTGACTCCGACCACGTTTTAACGAAACATTATTTTATGACCCATATTGCAGTTTAAGGGGTTGTTTGGGGTGTCTTAAATAAGTGTACTTTTTATCTTTTTGGACTAAAATATTGAGGGAAAAAATATGGATGTTTGGGTTAACTTTTTGAGTTTTTATGGAAAAATGTGTATTAAAAAATTGTATAAATTAGTGTGTAGGGGAAAATTAGAATTGAGAGTTACTTTTTGACTTTTTGTGAATAATGATAACTTTTTAACTTTTTGAGCAATTTTTTGACTTTTTAACTTTTTTCCAACTTGCCAAACTTGGCCTAAGTTGTTAGAGAGGACCTAAGTATACTTTTTAATTTTTTTTATAAAATATATATAAAAAAATAAAGAGGTAACGTGATCTAAATAAGTATATTTATTTAGTTTATGTCAAATAATATCTTAATCTAAAGTTTCATTTGGGAATAAATTATTTAAATTTTTTTAAATTTTTTATAAAAAAATATACAAAAAAATAAAAAGAATGATATGATAATTTATAATAATTTTTTTAATTAAAATATTTAATTTTCAAGTTAAACCTAAATCATTTATTTGTGTGAAATTTATATGAGATCCATGCAAATAAATGGTTTTGAATAATTATTCCCTTAACCCACTTCGTGTTACACCATGTATTATTGCTCCTCAACAACAACATATTTGTTTTTTCTTATGAAGTGGTTGTTACGTGTGATACAAAAATCCATCACACAAGTATGAATACATGAGAACTAATTCTAGTTGATTGTAGTCACTCTGATTACTTAACTCAGTAGTTACATGTTGAATTCAAATGAGTGGAAGTCATTGTATACATGGATCTCAAATTGAGCACTATTTTATACATGTTTATTTTATTTTTAATAATTTTGTGTAGCTGCTTACTTATATTGGTTTATCTTAAGTGGGATCGTATCCTTCTTAAAGAAATGACAAGCGTTATCTCAATTTTTGTGAATTATCCTTGACTTATTTCACGATGTGCTCTTTGTCTATTCAAAATTCATATTTGATTAGATATTGGATTAAACAACTGTTATCAAATCTTAAATATTTAATTAATTTAATTAGGAATTAGTTTGTTTTTATCAAAAGAGTGGTACATAAATGTTAAAAAATTAGGCCAAAGTATAATTACCGCAAATGCTAATAAGGCCTCGTTTGGGAACAGGCTAATTTAGTAACTTTTTGACTATTTGGCTAAAATATGAGCTAAAAAAAACTAATATGTTTGGGATGACTTTTTGACTTTTTACGAAAAGATGTGCAAAAAATAGAGAGAAAAGAGAATCTTTGACTTTTTGATATGGATTGTTGACTTTTTGGCTGATTTAGTAACTTTTTAGCTTTTTGACTAAAAAGTTCGGTTGCTAAACGAGGCCTAAGATAACTTTCAATCTAAGAAGATTTCTGATCAAAATCAAAGGAGATTTGGTTGTGGACACGTGTTGGCTTGTTGGCACGATTGTCTCCCTATAAATAGGGAAAAAAAGGAAAAAAATCAAAGAGAAAACACAAAAGAGACACTGGAGATAGGAAACTAATCAGTGAGAAGGTTTGTCATGGTGGAGATGAAAGGTTAATGGTCAATATTAAGGTAAGTTATATTATACCTTAAATTACCATAATATATTTTACGTATATTTTGGGTTACTATAAATTATTTTACGCAATCTATGTTTTATAAATTATCTTAATATTTTGATTACGTTAATTATTTTCTGAACTCTATTTTCTTAAATTGAAACTCATGGATATATTTGTTTAACTTTTAAAAATTATTTGACAATAGTTTTATAAACAAGTATGCTTTGTAAGTACCACCACGGAAGTCTCATGCCTTGGAGGACTTAAATATCTTTGGCCTCTATTTGACCACTTTGTGGTCTTCTGTTTGTCATAGATTCATTTGTTGGAAAATTTGATTTTTATAGGCTTATTTTGGGCCAACTTTGAGCCCAAAATTAAGTGGATCCGACACGTCTTTTGCGGTAGGTCCAAAGAGATGACGTGTTCCTTTGGCAAGTCATATGGTGAAGATGGTTCATCAAACCACTTATGAGTGAATGGAAAGTTGATGTCATTTTCAGGTTCGTGGCATTGGACACTTAAAGAAATAATATGTGGGTTTCCTTGTAAGGCTTGTCCCACATTAGAAACTTAAGAGA